TGGCAGTGTTTGGGTGACTACCTTTGAGAAGAACTCTGAGAGGTGCTGTTGGCAGGAACCACAGTCCATGCCGGTCTCAGACTCTCAGGATGGCACCAAGGTGGAACACTAGTGGATATCCCCTAAGCATTTGTCTGATAGGAGCATGTCACAGGCTGCTTCTGCCTTTCCTCTGTGTTTCATTGCTGAGAAGTGTCAGCAGTACACCAGAGTCTCAGTGGTCACCTGGGCTGGGAACCCCTTCTGTGTCTGCTGATGAAACATTTTCATCTTCTAATCATGGTAGCTGATGAAGAGACACACTGACCCCTTTGGCAATGCAGACACCTTGGATGTCCCTAAAGATGAGGCCAGTTTCTTTCTGGAGAGATGCTTTGAATAAGAAGACCGTGACGGAGGAAGCCTCATCTGAATGGTGGCAGCATCTTCCCCTGGGAGCTGTTCCTGTTCTCTTATGGCAGTCCAAGTCCTGCTCTATAACCAGGTTACATTGTCTTGGAGTTACAGCTTTGATCTTCTGCCTGTGAAGCCTCCAAACCTTGTCTAACTCTCTCTTAGATAATGGAATTCTCAGTTCTTAAGTATTCACATGCTCTGGCCCAGCTTGTAACCTTTAAACTTTGTCTCTCCTCCCTGGTCCTGGCATACAGCAGGTGTTCAATAAATGTTCTTTCTCAGACCAGTTCTATACCTAGCCACCTCTGTTCCTTTCCTTATTCTGTTGTATCCTGAAGAATACCTTCTTCTTCCATCCATCTTTCCCCATCCAGAACTCTGGTGTAAGTGCCACACAGCCCATGGAAACGTCCCAGATTCTTTGCGTCTGAGGAACTGTTTCTTTCGCCTTCATGCCCTGTAGCTTTCATGTTCTGCCTTGCAGAGCTGTCCTGTATGGTTGACGGGGTGTGCACCATCCAGCCCTAGGAGTGTCCTTCAGGTGATTGTCTAAGCCAGTCTGTGCAAACAGCTCCTGGGGAGCAGTGCTGCTCCTAAGCTCTGCCTTCATGGGTGGCAGCCGTGTGTCATGGCATCCCGTCATCTAATGTTCATGTAGCTTTGTTCTGTCTTTTTCAATGTCTGCCAGATGGCAAGCTGCCTGAAGAGGGAACTCTGAGCTCGTGCATCACCTGTGTCCTTGCTGTGCCATACGTGTATTTATGGCTGAGTAGTTCTTTCTGATCATTTGTTCATCAATACATTTTTTTGTGTGTCTTTGATGGAGGAACTAATTGTAAATACTTTATTGGAGAGGTGATGCAAAAATAGTAGAGAATAGCAATCTCCTAAGTTAATATCGGTAACTGTGACCATTTATTGAAACCTTACAGGTACGAGGTACTTTACTCAGCACTTTCTATGTATATTGTCTCACTCCATCCTCACAATTACCCACCGGAGCTTACTTCCTTACTATTATTGTTCCTGCTTTGAAGATGAAGAAATTGAGACTGAGAGAGAGAAGTGCTGACTTAGAGTCACTCATTAATTAGGGAATGCACCCAGGATTCCAAACAGACAAAATTCTGGAATAGAGTCCCAACCCTAAGCTTTAAACATGGAGCAGTGCTGTCCGCTGCTTTTACCTTCCTGTGGTGGGGCTGGTGGTGACATAGAGGGAGGGGCGTTGGCTTTCTTTTTCTGTTGCAGAAATGTTTATTGAGGACGCAGTATTTGCCCGGCTCTGTTGGGCACCGTGAAAGAGAATGAGGAGGTGATTCCAGTCCCTGGGGATCTCACAGTGGAGAGCCACATATTTGAATGTATCACAGCATCTTGCCTCAGTGGTAGGTTAGCTTTCCCT